CGAGGTTTTTACGACTAGTCAAACCTTCATCTACATCGTCTTTAAAAGTCGTTTTTATCGCTCTGGATGCAGAAACATGCTGCTGTTCCTTGTGTTAGTGCTGTTGATTCTTCATATGAACGCGCACTACATGTCTCTGAACTGGACATCACGTGACAGACCAAACCTAGTCATGCTCATGTCTGATGCCTTCGTAAGTCACTCACTTTACACTATAATAAACCAAATAACTTCTCAACGGTGACTATTTACTCATTTTTTCAGTCACTTTAACTTTGCAGAATTACTGAGCTGTGTTTCAAACCCTAGAGAGCTGCCTAACTAGAAAGCAAAAGCTTATGAAGGCAGCTCACCAGGTTTTATGACACAGAATCTGTGTTGTCTGACTTCTGTTTTCTTATTTCTAAAGGATGGCAGGTTAACTTTTTCTCCAGGCAATAAAGTTGTACAGCTGCCTTACATCAATTATATGAGGGAAATGGGTGCTGTTTTTCTTAACTTGTACACTAATTCACCAATCTGCTGTCCTTCTAGGGCAGGTATAGTATTAGTCAGCCTCTGCATATTGATATCTATTGTGTACCAAAATTGATGTGTACATGCACTGTAGAAATCAGATGAATATCTTGATGTGTTTTGGCAGCTATGTGGAGTGGTCAGTTTATTCATTTGACTCAGGCCTGGAACAACTATAAATGTCTTGATCCCAATGCCACCACATGGATGGACCGCTTAGGAAAGAGTGGGTACCACACTCGTAGCATGGGGAAACTAGACTACACGTCAGGACATCACTCTGTCAGGTGACTTTTGTGTAGCCCCGAAAATGTATTTGGACACTCAAATATACATTTTCATTTCAAAAGTGGGTTGGCCAGATTTTTCATTGTCTTTGAAATACATCTCACCAAGGCTGTATTACAGTAAATACAGTAAAATGCTAATATTGTGAAATATTATTAGTATTTCAATTAACTGCTTTCTATTTGGATATATTTTAAAATGTAATTTATTTCTGTGATATAAAAACTGAATTTTCAGCAGCCTTTACTCCAGTCTTCTGTGTCACATGATCCCAGAAATCATTCTAATATGCTGTTTTAGCATGTATTGAAAATTATGAAACAAATATACCGTTTTAAATATAGTCAAAGAACTGTTCTGACGTCTGGAACTTCTCTGTTGTTCAGTAATCGTGTGGAGGCGTGGACCAGAGACGTTCCATTCCTGCTGAGACAAGAGGGCCGTCCGGTCACCGATCTGGTGGGTGATGCATCCACAAAGAGGGTGATGACTAAAGACTGGAACGTCACTGATGCTGCGGTCCAGTGGATCCGACACACGGCTGTGTCTCTCGCCCAGCCATTTGCACTATATGTGGGGCTGAATCTCCCTCACCCGTACCGCACAGACTCCCTGGGACCCACAGCCGGGGGTTCCACCTTCCGCACCTCCCCGTATTGGCTAAACAAGGCAGGTTGCCTTGTCTGATTTAATGGAGACATGAATAACCTGTACATTTTAAAATCTTAATTGAATTGGAGTATTAAAACATTTAAGATTTTTTCACTGGACTTAATTTGGGATTTGAATCTAAGAATCAGAAACTGAACAAGACTTGAAATCTCCACACAGTCTGTTTAGTTTCAGAGGGAAACAGTTGAATAGTAAAAATGAAAGTTGACTAGGAAAATCTGCACACTGTTTACCTATTCCCTTTATTTTCTAAATAGAATGGCAGAATTCGATCTGAGATCTTGGCCAATTAAATTAAAATGTTTAATAGTGACAGACAAAATTAAATTTAAAAAAAATTGAAAACAAAAGTAAAAAAAAACAAAACATTTTGTCCACTTTGTTGTTATAACAGATCCAAACATATACCATCAAATATAATATAATGTGCTCATTAATTTGTTTCTGCTGTTTCATGTCGTCGTCTTTTTTTAATTAATGTTTCTGAAGACTTAACACAACCATAGTGAATTTATGTGGCAGGGGCATTGCTAGGGATTCTAAAACTCAAATTATTAAGAACTGTTTTCTGTAATTAAAATAAAGCTAAAATGAAATAAAATATAAAAAAAAACATTTTGTCCACTTTGTTGTTATAACACATCCAAACATATACCATCAAATATAATATAATGTGCTCATTAATGTGTTTCTGCTGTTTCATGTCGTCGTCTTTTTTTAATTAATGTTTCTGAAGACTTAACACAACCATAGTGAATTTATGTGGCAGGGGCATTGCTAGGGATTCTAAAACTCAAATTATTAAGAACTGTTTTCTGTAATTAAAATAAAGCTAAAATGAAATAAAATATAAATATTAGGTCAAAACTAAAAAAAGAACTGAAATAAAATAACTTTAACTTAATTTACTAAAAAATAATTAAAGCTATATAGAAATATTAGAAATGTGTAAAGTAAATTACATGACAAAATGACTAAGACAAACTAAAATGAAAATTAACATAAAAATAAAGGTTAATTCAAAACAGAGTCAGTCTCACAGTGGCAGTTTATCTGTAGCAGTAGTTAATCTGAGGTACTCTGACAATGATTGTGTTTTCTCTCAAAGGTTTCTTATGATCAAGTGTCTGTTCCAAAGTGGTTGCGGGTTGAAGACATGCACCCTGTGGATTACTACTCCACCTTCACCAAAAATTGCAGTGGCCACTTCACAAAAGAAGAGATCAGAAACATTAGAGCCTTTTACTATGCCATGTGTGCTGAAACTGACAGCATGTTGGGTGAGCAACCAGATCCATGTTTAAGTGCTGTTTTGTCACTGGGTTTGATGTAATGATATACTGTGATTTTGTGTCTGTAGGTGAGGTGATAGCTGCTCTCAGAGACACTGGCTTACTGAACAGGACAGTCGTACTGTTCACTTCGGATCATGGGGATCTAGCCATGGAACACAGGCAGTTCTATAAGATGTCCATGTTCGAGGGCAGCTCTCATGTCCCTCTGCTTATAATGGGCCCAGGAGTGAAGTCTGGCTTTGAAATCAGTCTACCTGCATCACTAGTGGACATTTATCCCACTGTGCTTGGTAAGGCTGGGAACTGATTGCACCACTAGTATTAGTATAATGTGGTGTTATAAGCTGAGGTTCAGTTATTTAAAATAAAGCATGGCTTGGTATTTGGGTGAATCTTAGCAACAACAACAACAAAAAAAGTCATACTTCAGCCCATAAACATAACAAGTGGGTAAGATTTTGTATTTTATTTTGCAAGGGCATATAAAAATTGACCAAAAGTAACAATAAAGGCATTTCAAATTTTAAAAACTTCTATTTCAAATAAATTCTGTTCTTTTGAGCTCAAGAATCCAGAAAAAAATGTATCACAGTTTCCACAAAAATAATAAGCAGCACAACTGTGTGCAACATTGATAATAAGAATAAAATAAGAAATAAGAAATGTTTCTTGAGTGCCAAATCAGCATATCAGAATGATTTCTGAAGGATCATGTGACACTGAAGACTGGAGTATTGGTTGCGTGTATATGTATATAATGTTGTATATGTAATGTTTGTGTATATAATGTTTTCATTTGTTTCCATCTGCTCTATATGTTTTTGTTAGATCTTGCTGGTGTTCCACAGCCAGGGGGTCTCAGTGGTCACTCACTGATCCCTCTGATTTCTGGGGTCAGCGTTCAATCAGCAGAGCCTCATCCCGGCTGGGTGCTCAGTGAATATCATGGTTGCAATGCGAACGCCTCCACATATATGCTGAGGATCGCCGAGTGGAAGTACATCACATATGCAGATGGATTGACCATTCCCCCACAACTCTTTAGTGAGTTTCTTCTCATGATAGCACTGCTGATGATGATGTGTAATAAAACATATATCTTCTTTTGCCATAGTATTCTGCATAACCGGCATGTGATGTCCCTGTTATATATAACTGTTTAAAGTAACTGGTTTCAATGTTCTCTCCACATAGACTTGTCCAAAGATGAATCAGAATTGAGAAATGTTGCATCACATTTCCCTGATGTATGTCAGAACTTGGACAAGCTGTTACGCACAATTGTGGACTACCCCAGTGTCTCCCAAGCTGTTCACAGCTACAATAAGCAACAGTTTCTGGAATGGAAGCAAAGCCTAGGAGACAGTTACTCCCAGGTCATAGCCAGCCTGCGATGGCATATTGACTGGCAAAAGGATGCCAAGTCCTATGAGAGAGATATTGAGGAGTGGCTATTAGGGTTGGATTGACCATCAGATTTGTAACTGTCAATGATCAGCACAAGCATGACATGATTCATGTTCCTATTTAAAACAAAAGAACAATGTAATCTGCATAAGTCAAGGCTTGCTACCCAATGTACCTGAAACATAGTTTGCCTCATAAAGAGCTTACTATAATTACTACAGATGCACTCTAGTTGTAAAATAACCTAAAATATATGATTTTATTATTTTTATTTAAAGGGGCCCTGCCCTTAGAAACAGTGGTAGGAGTTTTGTTTTGTTTTTTTCAAGTCAAATAGCACATTTAAAAGCAACAGAAGTTGACACAAAGTGCTACATAATTCAGGTAATAAAAATACCTGAAAAATAATATAAAAATAATATTTGAACAAATACAATATTAATATATATATATATATATATATTTGTATTATTATTTTTTTTTTTTTGTGTGGGTGAAGCGGTAAAAGTAAGGGTTTCCTTTCAGCAAAAATATAATTTCTTATTGTAATTTTGGGACAAATTATAACCCGGAAGTGTTTTCATAAGTTTCGGTCTGTTCTATGTGTTTTTGTTAGATCTTGCTGGTGTTCCACAACTACTAGATAATAATATGATGGTACTTTTTTGGGATTTAAATAATTGTATTCATTTACCATGGTATTTACAAGTTATCTCCAAAAAATACAATGCGTCCAGAAATATGATAACGGTTTTTGATAATTATTTTTGTTTTCTTACGTGTTTTAGGATGATTTTAGCAAATTCCCAAAGGTAATCAATAAGTGGCGATGGAACATAGTTTATGTAATACTTCGCACTACCGAAAGGGGGTGATATAAAAAGCCAAAAACTTTAAAACCCAGAAGATAATCGTGAAACGTGTGTGTACAAGCAACAGCAGACAACATTGTTGCTGTAGACGCGCAGTATTGATGTTTGACTTCTATTGCAGCACGGGTCACGTGAGGATCAAAGACAAGCTCGATCGATCCATTGAACTCGTCTCTGCGTGTCGTCTTTTGTTTGATCAGATGTTTGATACTCGAGTAGGATGGGCTTTCACACCTGGCGCTGTTTACATCAGACCTTAAGCGACTTCGGAGCTAGTGTTGATGTTTTGGCTTTTTAAGTTATAACGCGATCTAACGTTAGTAAAATTAAAAACAGGACGACTGCGGACTTTTTTCATAATTTTTCCTGATGTCGGACTGCAGCTCGTCGGGTTCAGATGAGGATTTGGACCCGGAGATAGAGCTGCTGGACGAGCTCGGCGGCACGCTCAGTAAGGTAACGTTAAACATAAGATTATTGTAAAACACTACACTTTTAAACGCTTTTTTTAGTGTGCAACAGTATTTGGGACTGGTTTTGTGGAAATTGAGGTTAGTGAATTACTTTTGTTTGTTTATATGTGACTGAAACGTCGCAACTTTTTGGAAGTTTTGTGACTGCGCATGTTCGCCCGACCAATGCGATCAGTAACATATGAGCGATATCCGACTGAAACGACACGGTCTACGTTGCAGTGAATCAGGTGAACTGTTTTGTGACAACCGCTCTAAAGCGGTTCTCGAGTCAGTACCTCATAAATCCTAAAATCGTCGATTTCAGGCATGTCAAAGTAGCCGTGGTGAAGTTACTGATTACAACATTTTATGAATTTTCTTTTACGCTAAGAAGTGTGAATACATTTTAGTAGCGTTTATTGTAAATTCAATAGGTTTTAAATGACTTTGTAATGAGCGTTATAAAGTAGATCATATATGAAATCGCAGTAAACTCCATTAAAACCTAAATACAATCTTTTGGCCGTGACAAATTTTGTTTTTTGCAAAGTTTGCTGCTTCAGTATTTGTAGATTATTTCCACATGTTTCTATGGTATACTGAAAAACAATAATAAGCATATCAAGTTTGAAAGGCTTTTATTGATTTATTATTTTATTGATTTATTAATTAATCTTTTAGCAATTATTTAAAATGCATCTGATCACTCTACACAATTATCTAGAAACAATGTGAATAAACAGCTTAAGCAGCAAACTTTGCAAAACACAAAATTTATGTCACTGCCAAAACTTTTGGCCATGACTGTAGTCTAAAATATAAATATATAAATGTATTGTAACGTATTAGAGCATGTAGTTGCTTCCTGACATAAATTAATCGCTTTTTTTGTGATGATCCAACTACTAGCTTATGTCTTTTATTTTTAGATGATTATTTTGTCTACAAAATAGCAGTCATTGGCTATGACTCGGCTTTTTTAATTTATACATATCTTTTTGTGAAAAAGTACGTCAATACATTTGGCACTTACAGTATAAGTTATATTTTTCTTTCATATTTGAAGTAATTTATTTACTACTTTTAGGGAAAGCTTTATTATTATTTTTTTCTTTTTGAAGGAGTAAGAATAAGTCAAAATGTTTGATTTGTTTCATATTTGAGGTCATTTTATTTATTTATTTATATATATATATATACATATATGCATTATATTTTTCTCTTTAACCTCTTTTTTGAAAGCATAAGTTTATGCACTTATAAGTTATGTTAAGAAATGTATACTGAATAAACCCAATTAGTTATTGTAGTTTGGGTAATGTTCAGTTAAAGTCACCTGCTGAACTTTGAAGCCTTGAACCCTCAGGAAGGTTTCATCTTTGTTGCAATTACTTGAAGAGATAACTGTAAGCCGCATGATATGAATAACTATCTCTTTGTTCATTTTCAGTGGACAAACTACATTCATGGATGGCAGGACCGCTGGATTGTGCTGAAGGGCAATATTCTCAGTTACTACAGGTCAGCAGATGAGAAGGAGTTCGGCTGTAGAGGGTCCGTCTGTCTCGGCAAGGCTGTCATCACGGTAAGGCTGATCTGATCTGTAGAGCGTCCTGTCATGTTTATCTGTATAATTATCAGGGGCTTAGCTTGACTACAGTATCTTGACTTCACAGTGGTGTGAAGAGCTGAAATGTACCACAGTGTGAAAATATTTGAGAAGTAATGCTTCCTGCTCATCATGCAGTGTTTATCCGTCAGCTACTGTCAGCGAGGAAGCTGTTGTACTTGTTTTGGGGGTTTCTCTTGAACAGCGTGATTGTTTCAAGGTGGACAAAGCAGAAGATGAGGTTGAGTAGAAAGTACAAGGGTACTCCACTTCCGCTACTTTGAACAGACATATCCTAGTGTCATCCATACTAAACATCCTGCAAAACCACATCTGAATACTTTATGGAATTATCATTATAAATAATGCCTTAAAAGATGATTATTGATGAACTTTGCAACATTGTTAGTTTCTTATTTATTACTGTGAAGCTGGATTAAAACAATCTGCATTAGTGCTGGGTGGTTTGACAAAATCTGTATCACGTTTTTTTTTTTTTCCCCTAACTGCCTTTATATTAATCAGAATGTGTGAAACAGTTGCAGAACCACTGAATTTTAATCACGATCCAAAGAAACATGCTAGCATTAGCAGTTTTTTATGTAAATTTGATGGTCTGACCTTAGCTTTGTGATATGATAACTAGAGCCCGACCGATATATCGTTTAGCCGATATTATCAGCCGATATGAGCCTGTCGCCGATATATCGGTATCGGCAAATATGCCACCGATATGAATTTTTTTTTTACAGGCGGATCCGCACCAAATTCGGGGGATCCTTTCAGCTCGAGGAACCCTCTCGAACACGAATCGAGTGTACATCTCGAGGCCCTCTTTCGACGATAGTCCCCGGGGTTCGGGAGTTACGGGCGGTTAAATATGCGGTCCGGCGTCAACCGATCTAGAGATCCCGGGGGGCTACCGACGCGTGGAGGGTGGCGTTCGAGAGGGCTCCTCGAGCTGAAGGGATCCCCCGAATTTGGTGACAACACTCAACACTTTCACTTCAGTAAGGAGGTCTCTTGT